CAGAGTGTTGTTCAGCATGGGGGTGAGTAGAAAATGAAGGCTAATCATGTTTTGGGTGTACTATTCCTTTAAGACCATAGTATCAGCATTTCACTACAGATCTGTTGAATCTGGGGGAGGCTGCCAAGCTAAATTGGCTCAGCTTGAAATCAGTCACAGAAAATTATTAGCTGTACAAGTTTAAACACAAAGAAAATATATTTTTTTTTTAAAAGGCATTAGAAAGTAGCTATATAACTAAAAAAATAAATAAAAAAAATATGAATATAACTATTTGTACTTATAAAACAAAACTTGGCATATTTATCATTCAAAACATTCTAATTAAGCCATGGTGATAATAGCAAATGAAAAACACCTTTACATCACATTCTGAAAAGACAAGCTTAATTAAACACAATTTTCAAAATATGTAAAGGTATATGTCTTTTTATTTATCTTAAAAATAAATTTATTCTACCTTTTTTTCTCACATTGTTCTGTTTTGAGAAATGAGGTTATGCTTATCTTAATAGTCTCAGCTGTGAGGTAAAGCTAATGTTTCAGCCTGTTTTGTTTGAAATCGTAGAGCTTAAACACATGTGGCTGAATGGAAATCTGACCTCCGTGTGATTGGGTGCTTCACTACTGGCGCCATCGTTGACCACAGCGGACCAGCTGCTGAGTGAGGAGGTAAGTGTTTCAGCAGATCTGCTATGGGCCTCTGACTACAGTCAGTCATAGGACCTGCACATAGGACCTGCTTGTTGTTTTTCTCATCAGTGGAAGCCAAGAGAGATAAAGATGCAGGAAGGGAGCAGGGCAGGTGAAGAAATCTCATCCTATTAACTGCTTAGAAGTTTCTTTTTTAGAGCGTGTGTCGTAAAGCTGACATCCTGGAGATGCTGACTAGAACGTAATCAGCAGTGTTGTAGTACTCAAGATCGGTCTTGGTCTCGAGACCATTTTTTGATGGTCTCGGTCTCGTCTCCGACTTGACCGCATTTGGTCTCGGTCTTGTCTTTGTCTCGGGCGCTGAGGACTCGGCATTTTATTTCAAGACCGGTCAAGACCACAACTGTGGAAATAAC